AATCGGATAGGAAAAGCACTAGTGATACTTGTCATTTCTTTTCAAATTCTTTAGTCAGTTGGCATAGAAAAAAGAAAGTTGCAGTTGCCTTGTCAACCGTCGAAGCAGAATACGTTGCAGCCGGTAATTATTGTGCCCAAATCTTGTGGCTCAAACAACAATTACTCGACTTTAATGTCCAACTTGATCACATTCCTATTTTTTGTGACAATACAAGTTCCATCAACCTAACCAAAAATCCGATTTTGCACTCTCGCATAAAACATATTGAGATAAGGCATCATTTCCTAAGGGATCACGTGGAAAAGGGTGATGTTATTTTCGAGCATGTTGATAGCAAAAACCAACTTGCTGACATTTTTACTAAACCACTCGCTACGGAACCCTTCTTTCACATCCGTAGAGAAGTTGGTGTTATCGATATCTCGGATAGATTGCAACTTAATTAAGTTGCATACTCCTTATTTTATTGAACTTATTCTCTTAATGCTTGATACACTTATGAATATTTTTAGTGAAAGCTCTCATCAATCATCATAAAGATAATATCGTTCTCATCTATTTTCCATTCTTAACTATGTGTAAATGTTAAACTTTTTCTTATTTATCTTTATTGTTAAGTACATAGGAACTCTAAGTGTTATATAAATTGCATGATATCAATTTAAAAAAGTTGCATAAAATCAAAATCCTTTACTTTTGAGTCGACTCATAGCATAAATGCATCGACGCGTACCTTATAACTCACTTAGCATCAATTAGAATAATCCATGCGTCGACTAAATACTCTATAAGCAGTCGACGCGTCGCGTAAATATCTGATTTCTTTGTTTTTATGTCATTTTATTCTTTTGTTTTCTAAATACACTCATTTCTCTCAAAACCCTAAAAACCCTCAAAACCCATTTCTCTCAAAATCTTCCTCACATACCCATTTCTCTCAAGAAATTTCCCTAATGGATTCAAGGGTAGCTAAGAAGAGAACTTTCAGAGGCAACTCCTCCAATGTTCCTTCGGATATTCTGGTAACTGCTCTTTCACTTCTCTCTGATGATATTGCTGGTACTTTTGCAGACACTTTTGGTAAGAGAAACATAGTTAGACAATCGACTTTATATCTGAAAACTTTGGGTCACATGCATCTTCCTGAAATTATTGAATTGTTAAGATTTCAGAAATTCCACTTATTTCTTGAATGTGATACACCTTATAATGAGGATTTGGTCAAAATGTTCTATGCTGGCATGCAAGGAAAGTTTGAAGGTTTTGAATTTAAATATAGAATCAACAACAAATGTTATATGGTTAGCTCGCATGTATGGAAAGACCTATTTGGTATGTGACCAGTTGACTCTGATGCTATTAAAATCTCTGATAATGTTCTTGCTCCTAACTATGAATTCAAGTCAGCTTTAAACTCCATGCTCAAGAAGCCTTATAGTGACAGAATTGTAAACAGTGATTTATTTCCAAGATCTGTAACGACCGGTGCCCTAGCCCCATTTGACAGAATTCTATTTTGGATCGTTTGCCACATTATTCGACCCAAGAACGAAGGTCTTTCTCGTGTGGATAAAGCTGAGGTTTAACTGCTTTATGTTTTGAAACATAAAATAAAGGTTCATTGGCCACATTATTTTGCTAGCCGAATGTTTGATCTGTACACCTCTGGAAGAGGCACCGCACTATGTTATCCCTTCTTCATTCAAAGAGTTGTGAATAGAGAAAAGATTAAAGTTCCAGGAATCCCTTATGTTGGTATAACTTCTAATCTTGAATTCACAAAGAAATCACTTACTTTGATGGGCTTCCAATGGGATCACAAGGAACAAAGATAATGCTTTGTTGTGAGAAGTACGTCTGTTTCATTCCAAAACAATGATGGTGGAGAGGATAATAATGAAGAAGAAGAAGAAGAGTCTGAGGAAGAAGAACATGAAGCAAATATGGACGAGGATGCCACGGTTCCTCAAGAAAACAATGCAAATGTGATAGCTCTTTTGGAGAAAATACAGATCCAACAAAAGGAAGACGCATTCCTTCAAAATGAGAGGATTTCGAACCTTTACAACCTTGTTAAAGTCCAAAACAAAATGTTCTCAACCTATTCAAATATTCAAGATCAGCGGTACTCCACATTGGAAGGCATGCTTCAATCACAAGCTGAAAATATTGCCTCCTTTCATTCCACCTTCCTTCAGTATTTTCCAAACCTTCCACCTGATGCTCCATAAAACAATGATAACAACAACCTAGAAAATTGATTCATGTTTATATATGTAATTTTGTTTAAGTCCTCATGTTACTTTTCTTTTGTTAAGCTCATGCACTTATCCTTATTAACTGGTTTGTAATATTCTACATACATTTGTCTAATTATTGCATTTTATGATCTGCACTAATTTCATTTTATGTGAATGATTGTTAGTGTCTTTAGTTGCGAATGGAAGATGATTTTGTATTTGATATATTTTGTTACTCTTGACCTTATGCTTTTTCTCTTTTTGATGTTGTCAAACGGGGAGAAGTGAACATAGAAGATTATATATAGCTTGCAAGCGGTGCTTTGCAGAACGCACAAACTCAGGGGGAGCATATTTGAGCATTGTTTTGCCATCATCAAAAAGGGGGAGTATGTGAGGGCAAAGTCCCTCTATAAGTATTTTAATGATGTCAAAACGATTATTAATCTCTCTCTAATTGCGTTGGTCCTATGAACAATCTTGCAATGGAATGATTGGAATGAAGATCTCCAGAAACACTTATTTTTGAGAAAAATCAATTTGTGCGTCGAATCAAAGATATGTGCGGTCGACTCATCACCTTCAATCAAGCCCTATATGTGTCAGGTCGACTCAAACTGAAAATCAAAATATTAAACTATTGCATCGACGCAAACCCTGTAGCGGTCGACACACTGCACTTCATAATAGATTTCCCTCTGACCGCTGGATGTGTCACGTCGATCCTTCTGGTTGATTCAACCTGAGAATAAAAATATTCAAAGTTTGCGTCAACGCAAGTCCTGAAGCGGTGGATGCATTGCACTTGAAAACAGTTTTTTCTTTGTCTGCGGGTTGTGTCGCGCCGACCCCTATTTCTTGTTGAGTCGACCGCTCGCTAGCTTCATCTGATTTTCTGCTATGTTGTGGGTCTTGACTATTAGGTAACATATATATATATATATATATATATATATATATATATATATATATATATATATATATATATATATATATATATATATATATATATATATATATATATATATATATATATATATATATATATATATATATATATATATATATATATATATATATATATATATATATATATATATATATATATATATATATATATATATATATATATATATATATATATATTATACATCATTATTTGCAGTTAACAAGAACTAGTGAAAGATGCACATAGTGCTCATCATCTTCATCCTCTCTTCTCAAAAATCAACATCTACACATAATCATGGTTGTTGATTCTAGAAAATTGTTGTGGTGATAACGTTCAAATCAAGAATTCAATTCAGATTTGGATTGAGCAATTGTGGGTTGTTCTTGAATAAAATCATTTGGATTTTCTCCTCCAAGATTCCTATTGGTGCGGGGATTTTTGCACAAGTCTTTGCTTCATTGAATTCATTCGAGTGAAAGGATTAAGTAACGGTGAGTTTGCTTAATCAAGTAGCGGTAACCGGAGGATGGTGAAGATTGATTTTGGGTCAAATTGCTTGCGATTGAAATCAGCCGAGTGAAAGGATTAAGAAACGGTGGATTTGCTTAATCAAGTAGCGGTAACCGGAGATTTGTTCAAAGAATTTGGCACTTAGTTTTGCTCAAACCAAGGAAAGGGAAGAAGATTGTTACATCAGTAACATTGGTTTGTTTGTATTGTGAACTATCTCTTCTCTTGTAACATTTGTAACTTTATATCAAATATCTCAATTCTAGATTCTAGAATTTAAGACAGTCGTACTCTACGTGAGGACGACAAGGGGTACTGCCTTAACAAATCGTGTGTTCTTCTGCTTTTTCTTTATCTATATACTTGATTACTATACAGTGTGAAAACTAATTTGTCAAATCTGCACATATTGAAATTGTGGTGTGTTGAGATCATTTCAAAACATTGGTAACAATCCTTTTTATTGATACCTAAGAAAACTCACCACTACAATTTAGTATAATCAAACCTAAGGTGCTTTGCCCATAAGGTGTTTGACAAATTGACTAATCCACAAATTATTCATTGTGTTTAGCCTTATCTCATTCAACTCATTGGAAGTAATTAATATTCATTGAGGGTGTATAAGTGATTGATCAATTGAGTAAAACGCATTGATTCTTACTTTGTCATTATATCCCATACGGTTACGCATATCCAATCTTTTCAATAGAGAATCGTTTAGACGATTGGAGATTCCAGGAAGTTTTCGCATATTTTTCTGAAAAACAATTTTAAAAAGCACAAATTATTTTAAACGATTTATTCAACTCCCTTCTAGATCAATCACATCGTCTAACAGGTATTTCTTCGAATAGGCAAAGGCGAATTTATCAAAGCTATCAGGCAGGTTTGGTACATTGATATACCTTTAAAAGTAAGATAATGGCCACGAGAGATGCTCTTGTACGGAGAGGATTGATGGATCAAACGCGAGACAGGTTTTGCATATTTTGTTTCAGTTGCGATGATTCCTGCCGTCGTGTTTTTTCAATTGTGAATTCGCTAGTAGGGTATGATGTGGCATAAGGGACTGTTTATGAATTATACTAACAGATATATTTGTGCTAGTTAAATTTATATTTACTAAATTTTAATAAGTATCTGCCCAACTATTATACGAGCATATGGGAAAATACAACCGTTACGCTCCATAATAGTATCAAAGTTACAACAAAAACTAAACACAAACCACAAAATAAAACCAATAAATTACCCCATATGTCTACTACATCAAACCAAAGTACTATCCCATTTCACACTTCCGCTCCTCCGCCCAATGCACCAGATGATAGTTGTCTGCAGAGTGAATTTACCATGCACCAGATGATAGTTACAAGTTAGATCAGATTAAATAAAAACGACATACCCACGCATATATACTCTTTCTCATATGACAATATTACTAATGTACATCATGTCCTACCCCAATCAACAACTTGGCTACATTTACAGATTCTTTAAAATACAACACAGTTATACACAAATAGATGACTTCCCTCCATCTTTATTGTAACTAAATTGCGGTCTTTTTCATATTACGTTCCACTTCCACTAGCATCTTAAAATTGATGATGGAACTAGATATCACAAAGCACAGAAACCATATAGAAGAATAGCCTCACTAAAATGAAACCACTTCTTCACTGACAATCCTAACCACTAAATAAGTTCCTATTCAATCAATCATAATCCCTTCTAGTCTACACGAAATGTGATTACCAGAACTTTGCCCCTAATAACTTTGCTAATACAAAATTATGTAAGCACATGTTACAAAACAATAGAAAAAAAACACACTGGCACATCCTCATAGCATATTAAAAACACTACTTACTTGCATTCTTCAAGTTGTTGGAAATTCTCTCTTGATATTCAATAAATCAGCAATAAATTTTTTATGCTCACTTAAATCTTCCACTGCTTTTCTTAGAGCATCTTGGTACTCTGTAAGTATTCCTTGCATTTCTTCATTTTGCTGCCTCTCATATTTGACTTGACTCTCGTACTCAGCTGTCACCTTCTTGAGTTGCTCAAGCTCTCTTTGCATATTCATTTCAGCTATCTTTGAAACCTTTAACAAATTTTTCAATTGTTCATTAGAAACTTGTAGATTGTGCTGGATTTTGATCTTACATTCTTCCTCCACTTTTGCTCTCTTCTTTGCTCTTTCAAGGGAAATCTCATTTTCACTTTGTGCTGCCTCATATGCTTGACGGACCCTTTTTAACTCTTCTTGCAAATTCTTAATTTCTTCCTCCGCCTTTAGAGGCGATGCCTTCGATTTTTCTACTTCCTCATTAATGTTAACAGATTGAACTGGTGTTTCTTCAACTACTTTATACGTTCTACTAACCCAGGGTAACTTGATCTCTTTAACCCTGTCCTTGAGCCATTGAGAATAAGTACCCTTTACACCATAACTTGTGCATCTAAGCTCTTGCCCTTTTCTGTGAATCTTTTTCCATGCTTGACTTCTCCTCTGTAACATCTCTGGGTCTTCTTTATCCATGTTATGCAAAACAACTTCCTTCAATAATAGATCTGCAGGTTTATCTACTATTGGATAACCGAGCTGCCTCAAAGCTAAAGTCGGGTTGTAATTAATGCATCCTTTGGTTCCAATAAGAGGCACGTTAGGAAACTCCCCACAACTGTAAATTACTTCTTCCACCCTTTGTTCTTGTGAATACCATAAAATTGAATCTTCATTAAGCTTTCCTAGGTTTCGAGCCCATGCGCTTCTAGTTTTGGGTTCCACAAAACAACTATCCATATGAGATATAAACCACGTATACAAGACAGGAAGACAACATAAAATCCTTCCATGTTTCTTTTGGTACTGCACATGAAGAGAGTAGTATACATTAGCAAGAACAGCAGGAACTGGATTCTGGTTGTGTTGCTTATAGGCCAGAAAAACACCAATAGCAGCCGAATCCACAAAATTATCCATGTTTGGGAATAACACTATACCATAGATAACGAGAGCCAACAAATCTATGAAAGCATCCCATTGGTTTTCACCGACCAGATCTTGAGCCTTTTTTTCTAAATATTCTCTTGAAAATCCATAAACCCGGCATCTCTCAATTTTGCTTATGTCAATATTCAGTACTTGAGCAATTGTTTTGGGTGTAGGGAAATGTCCAATTCCACGGAATGGATTTCCTTTGTCTAAGGAATAACCCATGATTAGTGCGAACTCTTCCAACGTTGGAGCTAATTGAAAATCTTTAAAAGTGAAGCATCTAAGAGGAGGGTCGTAGTACTGGGCCAAAGCAATGAGGGCATCGGTTTTCACATCTACAGTCAAGAGGTCAAGGATGTTTCCATACCTATTAACGAAAATGTCTCGATTACTTTGTGTCATTTGATTGGCAAGGTCTATTAAGCTCTTCAAATCAGGCTGCACAAACTTTAAACTTACATAGAGTCTTCGTTCTGGTCCCATTTTTTCCAACATGTTTTAAAAAGCCGCAACACAAGTAATATCCTTATTATGACTCCTTAAGAAAGCTGAAAATTATGAAAAGCAATGAGATATGAATGTGGATAGTAGAATTGAGTATCATCAGTTCAGGTATGATATAATAGAAAGATATAAAGAAAAACTGCATAATAGACCTGAGTTTCAAAATCCCAGCAAAAAAAACTATTGAGAATCAACGCATTTCTTGTGTGGAGAATCGGATTTGGTTGGTTGGAAGAATGGTAGGGTTTGGGTTTGGAGAATTGTGTAGTTTTGGGAACAATCATAGGGTTTCGAGAATTTCTTCTTACGTAAAACCAATCTAATCAAATCATTTTATATTTCATTCTTACAATTCATAAAACAAAATGTGAAATAGAATTGATTGGAATATAATGACATGTATTCCGTGTCTAAATTTGGTTAACAATAACAATTTTGTTGTTTTAGAAAATAATTTTACACATCATTTAATAACAAATCAAAAAATTATCATATCATTTAAATAATTTTAAAATAAAATAATTTGACACAATACGAATATCACAGTGTAAAATTATTTTAATATAAGAATGTGTGTCTTATTTTCTGTTTGTTTTATTTTATGGGATAAAATATTTATATAATAAAATGTAATTTTTATTTTATTTTATTTTATTTTACTTTATTTATTTTAAATACTTTGTTTATTTTAAAATATAAAAATAAATTTTAAAGGTAGTGTTAATATTAGATATACTGCTACAATAAATTCTACTAAAAATAAATTTATTAAATAATTAAATGATTAGTAAAAACGATTTGTATAAAATGTAAAATAAATTTGAAGGAATACCTAATTTTTGTTGTCATTAAAATTTGGAGGAATAACCAATTTATTTCATTTTATCATAAAATATTTAGACAATAAAATGTAATCTTTATTTTATTTTGTCTTTGCTTAACTTATTTTAAAATATTTAATAAATGAATGTCTTTAAATAATTGAAATAATTGAATGATGGAAAACTATCTAACAAATTCATGGATATCATAGTGTATGCATTTTTTTAAGTAAATTTATGGATATCTTTGGGTGGATTCAATACATATGCAATATGCATATTGCAATGGATCTACACTCACAATTTCCATTTGCTTCTACAAATGTGATCAGAATGGTCACTATGCTCAGACAAATTTATATCTATGAGAAATTAATCATGTCTCTTTCACCATGACAATTCAAAGACAATAATTCTTCAAATCTTTCAAATAAAGATGTTTAAATAAGGATACATGTCATATTTCAATTTTATCCCTCAATTAATAAATCAATGCATTCGCCAGACATTCTCATCATCTGTATAACATAACATGCATTTCATCACGCATAATACCTGATCGTATCTTGATTAGAGTGGATTGTCAAAGCCCACGAGCTTCGAGTTGAGCAACAGCTGAAGATGAGATGGAGGGATACCTGCAAGATACTCCGATGCTAAAGTAAGATTCAGGGAGAGTGCTAGTAAGTATGAGAGTATGTGAGTTAAAGAGTCAATACCTGGCCCTCTCAAGTGAGAGGGTATTTATAGTCCCCAGTGTTAGGCCAAGGTCCCCAATATTGGGCCACGATGAGGCACAACAATGAAGACTGTCAGGGTTTACGTGTGTATGGAGTCCAACACGTGGCCTCCTCCCTGGTCAACTGTTTCGAGAGAATAGGTGATGGACCCGTGATTCTCAGAGGGCGGTTATGATGACAATGATACGGCCACGTGGGTCACGTTCCCCAACGGACACGTGGGAAGTTGCCCAATGATCCCCAATTTGGATTGCTTGTCTTTGGGCCCTAGGCAAGGGTGTAGGATTGGGCCTCCCTAATGGTGGGGCAAGCACTGACCCAGTCCAGATCAGGAGCCCCCAAGTTATTGCCCTTAGGCGAAAGGGTGATGACTTAAGTTCAATTTCATGGTCGGGGAGAATTTGTTCGAGAAGCTCGACGTAACCTTCTAACGGGGACAAGTTGTTCCACCGTGTCGGGGAGAACCTGTTTAACCGTGTTGGGGGCCTCGTAAACACGCAAGTTGCGAGGCCAACTAGGTCAGTTGTTCGTTCGGTGCCCATCGGGAACATATAGGTTGCGGGGAGCTTCCCCGGACTCCTTTTCGATGTGCTCGTACTCAAGGTGTCGCTACGATGTCGAGCTTTATTTCGTCCTCGGGGTGGAACATGATGAATATGTCCGTATGCATGTTTTAACCATAGTGTCGAGCATTTCGTCGTGCAAGATTTCTTTGTTGTGCTCGAGCACGATGTCTCGTGTGAAAGTCAGAGATATGTTCGTCTTTTAAGAATGGGCATGTGGTTGGTTGTTGCACCACGTGGCTGTTGATCTGGGGTGCCATCTTTTCATGAGGAGTCCAAAAGGCCTAAACTAATGATGATTTTTCGTGTGCAACCTCGTGGGGTGTGAGCCACCTATAAAAAGGGGACCCCAGGGTTTCATTTATTATTCTCAAACTTTCTTCTACAATCTTCCTTGCCCGCGAGTGGATCCTCTCCTCTTAACTTCTCATTCGAGTTCCCCAAGGCATTCATATCCAAGTAAGTTATATCCTCCTAACAACATGTTTTCTTTAGAATTTTTAGATTAAATGCTTAGTTTCTGTCTTGATTGGAATAATTTTGGATGAACATTCATGGGTTCTGTGATGAACATCCATGAATGTCTATTGAAGTTCATGATAGATAGATGAACTTCATGATGTTGGGGTCGTTTTCCCCGAATAGTGGGGGTTGATTCGGGCACCTTGCTCGTTTGACTAGATGTCCCTCAATAGAAGCATGTTGTTTTAGTGTGCAGTCAAGGGCTTGGGTCGAAGTCTGTTCCTCGACGACTTCATCACCCTTTCACTTAGGGATGGCAAGCAGACCCAAACCCGCGGGCCCCACCTGCACCCGCACCCGAGTCAACGGGTGAAACCCGAATTGACTGGGTTTGGGTTCGGGTTCGGGTGCCACCCGATATTTCGGGTGTGGGTTTGGGATAGCTTAAACCCGCACCCGAAACCCGAAACCACACCCGCTTATATGTTAAATTACAAAACTATCCCTAATATATATATATATATATATATATATATATATATATATATATATATATATATATATATATATATATATATATATATATATATATATATATATATATATATATATATATATATATATATATTACTTTCTTGCATAAAAAGATGTGAAAAATGTTTAAATTATATTTATTAAAAATATAAATCTCTATGAATTTGCACAAATATTTTCAATTTTTTATTTTAATGGGCTATGTGTTTTGTGATGAGAAAATGTTTAGTTTTTTAAAATCAAGGATATTTTGACAAGTTCAAATGCTTTGGGAGTACATAGGTAAACTGGAGAGTATGAAATCAAATAAGACTATAGTGCACCCAATTACCAGAGTAGACCATATTTTATAAATTAATTCTTTGCACTAGTGTGTATTCTGATTTCCCCTAATAGTTGAAGTCGTATGTGAATACTGATAATATAATTTGTGTTGTGCCACCATAGAGGTATACCTAGCGCCCCCAATACTAGTTCTTTTACTATAATACCTTTTCCACCTGAAAAACAAATTCCATAATTTATTTGTTATTTTTAGAAATTTTAGAAAAGCTGTGATATTTTTTCGGATTTTTTTAATCATCTATCCGATATTTTCAAGTAAGTCCTTTTCATACTCTCCGGTTTAGCATTACCAAGAATTAAGTTACATGTTTTATATGTTTTAAGTTTCACATGTTTTGACAGAACATATCTATATTTGGAACCCCAACCTCTGACAACTCCTCCACCTCTCCCAACGCGTTTTCCGCCCGAAATTTGACTGCAAACAATGGAAATCGCGGTATCAACAACAGAGGCAGAAACGGCAACCGAGGTAAAGGTCGAAGCTCCGGCAGAGGAGGACGTCACAACCACGGAGGGATGCAGTTCAATGGTGGTGGTGGACGCGGTGGCCCGAACTCGGGCTGGCAGCAGCAACCTCCTTCTCCGTATCCTTGGCAACAGTGGCAACAACAACAATATGCACCATGGGCTCCTCCTCCATCTCCGTATCCTTCTTATTGGCCTAGGCCCAATGCTGGCCCAAAAACTCAGCAAGCAGGAATTCTTGGAAATAGGCCACAATCTGCTGCCTTTGCTGTAACTGGGCCAAGCCCAACAGATATTGAAGCTGCTCTTCACACTCTCCATCTTGCTCAATCTGACCCATCATGGTACATGGACACTGGAGCAACATCTCATATGACATCCACACAAGGTAATCTCTCATCTTATTTTAATTTGAGCAAAAATAATAGTATTATCGTAGGAAATGGTCATTCAGTTCCTATTCATGGTTTTGGAAATGCTAACTTATCCCCCCCACACCCTCCATTAACTTTATCTAATGTCCTCCATGCACCGAAATTGATTAAGAATTTAATCTCTGTTCGTAAATTCA